GAGTCCTTCCCTAATATGCCTTTTAACCATCTTGCCCTGGGGATTCTAGTCACCAGGCACTGATGCAGGCTTGAGGATGATAAATTGCCCTTTGCATTCATCAATCTCCTCCTCCTGGGCCCCACCAGGTGATCCTATTCTCAGATGCTGTAGCACAGTTCATTGACATATGAACTATATGTCAGGGGCTATATGTGACAAACTTGCAGAAGGCATGATACTGAATGACAGCCAGCATGGCTTCATCATGGGTAGGTCTTGTCTGACCAACCTCATTTCTTTCTGTGATCAGGTGACTCGGGCTCAACTGCGGACCATCAAGTGGGTGCGAAACTGATTGCGAGGTAGGACACAGAAAGTCCAAATGAATGGATCAATGTTGTCCTGGTGAGACAGCGTACCCCAGGGGTCAGCACTTGGCCCAGTGCTGTTTAATATCTTCATCAGTGACCTGGATGTGAGGGTGAAAAGCCCATTGGCCACGTTTTCAGATAACACCAATATATGGGGTTGTGCAGACACACCATCAGATAGGCTGCAGATACAAGCAGACATAGACAGGCTGGCATGTTGAACAGAACAGAACCAGATGAGGTTCAACATAGAGAAATGCCAAGCGCTGCATCTGGGAACGAAGAATCCCCAGCACACCTACGGGCTGGGCATCGCTAACCTGACCAGCACTACAAATGAAAGGGATCTGGGGGTAGCAATAGACCCCAGCATGAATATTAGCCGGCAATATGACACAGTAGCTGCTAGGGCCAATAAAACTCTGGCATGCATCAATCGATGCATCTCCAGTAAATCCAAAGAAATGATTCTCCCACTTTACTCAACATTGGTGCGGCCACAGCTGGAGTATTGCATCCAGTTCCGGGCACCGCACTTCAACAAGGACATGCTAAAGCTTGAGAGGGTCCAGAGAAGGCCCACCCACAGGATCAGGGACTTGCATGGCAAGCCATACGAAGAGAGGCTGAGGGATCTCAGACTCTTCAGCCTAAAGAAAAGGCTGAGAGGGGACCTGATTGCAGCTTACCACTATATCAGAGGCGTACATCAGGGGCTCAGTGAGCAACTGTTCACCAGGCCTCCCTGGGGGAAAACTAGAAGCAGCAGCCACAAACTCCTGGAAGATAGTTTCAGACTGAACATTAGGAAAAACTTCTTTACAGCTAGGTTATCCAGGCTGTGGAACAAGCTCTGCCCAGAGATGGTGCAATCATCTACCCTAGAGGTCTTCAAGAGAAGACTGGATGGTCACCTGGCTGGGGTCGTCTGACCCCAGATGTCTTTCCTGCTTATGCAGAAGGCTGGACCTGATGATCCTTCAGGGTCTCTTCCAGCCCTATGATTCTATGATTCTATCCCATCTTGGACATCAGAAAGCTGAATGTATGCAGTCAAAAGCTCAAGTGATCCTGGCAACCATTATATCATCACTTCATTAGAGAAACTAGCTCACATCTCTTAACCTAGAACTCAGGCCATGTCTGTCACCTGCCTTTGTCATGTCTCCATAGGTGATACTTGCAAGATGGCCACTTGGAGCTCTATTAATACATTTACTGAATTTCATATCATCATGGAAGCCTCTCACACTGATGTTGCATTTGGCATGTTATTTGTATATCAGGACTCACTGCTTGGGTGTGTGAGCACTGAATTTGGAATCACTTACTAGTCAGGAATGTATGTGTGGACAGTTACTCAAAAAAGAAAAAGAAGTTCTTTACCAGTAACTGGGTTCTTCGAGATGTATTGCTCACATACACAATTGAATCAAGGTCTCCTTCCCCTTCTGTCAGAGTTGAACACAGTTAGGACTCTGTGACTGAGAGAGAACTGAGGAGTAGTAAGTACTAGGCCTGTGCAAGGAGGGAAATATTCGATTCAGATTTGGCCAATTCAGAGGACAGTGATTCCATTTGGAGATTCGGATCACTGTCCTGAATCGATTTGGCTGAATTGGCTTTGGAAGATTCAGTGCTGATTCAGAGAGGTTCAGTGATTTGGATCGGCCAGGGAGAGGCAGGCACAGCTGGGTGGCTGTGCCTGCTTCTCCCCAGGCTGGGGGAGCCTAGTCCTGGCACTTTAAAAAAACAAAACAAAAAACGCACTCACCGGCTTCAGTAGCAGTGATCAGGGCCTCTGGGCACTCATGGCAGAGCCCCGCCGCACCGCACAGAGTAGAGGGGGGGCAGTGGGGATTGCGGGTGCAGTGCAGCTTAGCAGGGCGCTTTGCTCTGTCTGGGAGCTGAGACTGCTGGGGCTGAGTGCTGCTGGGCTCCGGCTGATGCATGGAGCCGCCCCAGCTCCCAGACAGTGTGCAGCGCCCTGCCAAGCCACACTGTACCCGCGTCATATGGCAGCTGCTGTGCAGGTGACAAGTGGGGGGGCAATCCCCGCTGCCTCCCACAGCCCCACACTGTGTTGGGGTTCTGCCACAAGCCCTCAGAGGCCCTGATTGCTGCTTCAAGAGCTGGTGAGTGTGGGGCTTTTTTGTTTTTTTTTCTTTAAGTGCCAGGAGGATGCGGCCAGGCAGGGGATGGGTCTGAGCAGGGCAGCCACAGGGGCTTCCCCTGTGGCTTCTCCGGCTGTGCCTGCAGGGGCTCTGCCCTGCTGTTGCCTGCCCAGCTGGTGCAGCAGGGGTCACAGTGCAGACACAGCTTACTCTGGGCAGCAGCAGGGCACAGCCTCCACTCCCAGTGCTGCTACGCCCACATCAGCACTAGGAATAGGGGCTCTGCTTGCCACTGGCACGGGGAGTGTGGGGTGCAGGTGAGGCAGCACTGAGAGTGGGGGCTATGCCCTGCTGCTGCTTGCCTCCTTCCATCTGGAGTGAGCCACGCCTGCATCCCACACACCCCCCTCCACCCCTGCTGGGCAAGTGGCAGCAGGGCAGAGCACCCACTCCCAGCACTGCCGTGCCTACATCCCATGCCCTCCCTCAACCCCAACAGACTTACCAGCTGGAGGCAGCTGTGTCAGCTACCTATTTACTCTATGGCCGAATCTCCAAAGCGGACAAATCTTTCCTGAAGCTTTTCCGAATTGATTTGGATGCTTCAAATCAATTCAGAGCTTTTAATTGGTCTCCCAATTTGATTCAGAGATTCAGTCCTTGAATCTGGCCGAATCTCCTCTGAATCGAATCAGCTACCGAAGCTTTGCACAGCCCTAGTATCCCACTTTATCCATTTGACGTGGGCCAAAAGCAGATACATAGCCAGGGCAAATTCTACATATACTGTTATGGCAAAAAGATTTCTGCTCAAAGTTTCAGGATGCAAGACACCCACTAGTAAAAAATGTGAGTGTGGGCAATGCATTTTGAAGAACTTCAGTTACTGGTAGGTAACATCCTTTTCTGTCTGGAAGATTTGTCAGTTAAACGAGAAAGACTAAACAAAGACCAGATATGTACAACATTAATTGATGGTACATTGTCATCTGAACCTGATTCTCCATCCATATCTAGCATCCCTAAATAAGATAGCATCACCCCTGAGGACTAAAGCCACAATGCAAAGCTCTTTAATGCTGAAAGGAACTAATTATAGATATATCTTTAGAATTATTTTAACCATATCCTGGTTTACTTAATTTATTGTTATTACCTCTATCCAGTCTTTCACTGAAGTTCACTTGGCAGCTGCGTGAGATTTATATAAATTTTGGGAGATTTTCTTTTCTTAAATCCTTTAAAGACTTTAGAGGGAAGGATGAGGTCTGATAAAATGTTAGCTACATGTTCCCTTTCATTACATTAGGATTTGCCAGAGGAGACTCTGTTCTTCAGGTGCTGGACAGGAAGTAGTCCTTTGTTTCAATCCCAGACTCATGAGTTCACCCAAAAATTCTTTGTGGTGTAGTAATTTAGAAGAAATAGCCTAAAAATTCCCTTTATTTAAAATGAAGACAGGGTGGGACCTTAAAGACAGATTTTTCAGAAAAGTGCCATCCTGCCCTACCTTTTGCCTAACTTCAGATTAACATAGCTAGCTAGCTCTCTTTATTTAAACAGTATGGTATCCAAAGGGATCATTTTGTATCCTATTCTCCTGCTTTGCCACCCGGTAAGTATAAAAATCTAGGCCTGGATCCAAAAAGATACCTCCTGGTTTTACACTGTGCATTGTCTTGCCTAAGATTTAGGTATGTGTATCTTTAAGTGGAATTTATAAAACTGAGTTGTGTGTTTTACATCTTCATACTTTGAAGGGAGACCCCCAAGTGCCTTTTAGTTGAGATGCATAGGCCAACTGATAAGTGCTAATTGGGGGTGTTAGACTGGCATCTCATTTGTCTCCTGGAAGTAGATAGCATTTATGTTGCTCCCTGAAGCCCCAGTTCTGTTAATGGGGAGTTTATAATCTAAAACTTTGCCTGGGTTTAATCACCTAAAACCAGATTTTATTGAATCAGCTGGGATGCTGTGTATACATTTTATGCAATAACTGTGGTTCTGCATCTTGCATTGCAGTCTCAGGCCAAAACCAGGCTCTCCCCTCCTAGGAGAATGCGTTTCTCACTGGGCTACAGATTCCAGTTCCTTCTTTGCTCTTCATGCCCTATGAATCTTTTACCCTAGATGGCCCAGTGGGTCAGTCAGTAAGTGGTGAACAGTGCTTTCTACCCTGTTTAGCCTCATGGTATGACTCTTCTGAGAAAACAGTTTTTTATAGATAAGAGTTGCCATTTTGTTTCTGGTAGAAATAACAGGCAAAGCTCATTATAATGAGATATCAGGTAAGATATTTTTTGCTTTTCCAAAGCTTCATTGATCCTTGTTACTGTTTTCCACTACCTTAAAATATCATTCTAGAAGGAGACTTTTAAAGGCACAAAGAGCAGTTTAGGTGCCTGACTTCTATGGAGAGTCTGTGAGAACTTACCTCTCGTTTTTGCTGTTGGAAGATCTTTCCCCCTCCTCACAATGATCTAAATTGATTGCATCCAAAAATAAAATCAGTTTGTTTTTTTTGATTTGGCAGGTGCCGTTTTTTGGTCCTCTGTTTGATGGAGCAATAGTGACTGCAAAACTACTGCCAAGCCTTATATGTGCCACATGCATCAATGCCAGCAGAGCTGTGAAATCTCTCATACCACTCTACCAGAGCTTGTATCCTTTTCCTGTAGTGATGTGATGTTATTCCTATGTATAGCTCCAGATTACAAATAATCTTCTGTTAGAGGTAAGCAATAATGACAACTCCTCACTTTGGCTTTATATTAAGGGCTGTGTGCATTGGGAAAAAGTCAAAACTTTTTTCATATAAAGAATTATTTTAGCTGAGCTTTGAAAAATAATTGAAGTCTAATGCTACAAGAGCATTCTCAAAATTTTGAAGCCTTCTGTTAAATGCCAAGTTGGATACAGTAGTGCTTTGAACTTCAAAGGATGGTTATTTTCAAATTTACATAATGAAAAAAATAATCTCTTTACATTGGCCTGCAATTTATAATATGGAGACTATTTCTACTCCTGTACCTTATTCACACATTGGGACCCATGGGGACTCTCCATATTAGTAAGACACGGGCCCATGGTGGTTGATGTTTATCATCAGTCCTTATCTCCATTTTCATTTTATCCACGTTATCTAAAAAAATGTTAGTACCGTAGTTATAGGTAACTAAAAACATGCTTCTACATTACAGAATTGTGTAGGATAGACTGTAATTTTTACATGGTATGCAGGCTAATGGCATAATAACACTCATTCAACATTCTACATTACTGTTTTCTTAATGCCACCAGTGTTAGTGTGCATGGTTACATACCTATTTACTCAAATATAGGCTGAAGTATTTTTCCCCCAGTCAACATCTTACATTCACATACAACGGAACTGCATTAAATTCAGTGTCTACCATTAAACTGCAGCCAAAAGCAGCATGTGTTCAGAAATGGAAACCAACTATGAAGCTGATTAATTGCAGTCAACACTGAGCATGACTATAAACACATGGCCCGTGATGGGCAAACATACTGATGGGAGCCTACCGCAAAGATAGGTTAGTGCAGCCCATTTGAATAAGATACATGCTCATTGTGCACAGTCTCCCTCAGCACCAACTTTTTTAAGTCATGGTGAACCACTACATTGAATACATTTTAATTTTCTCTTCACTCCCACAGCTGAGCTATTCCTTTCTTACCCATTTCCACTTATTCCTATTTTTTTCACAAGCCTTAAATGTTTGGCAAACATCACCAAATGGGGCCCCAAATAGTTCACCCAGAATCCCTCTATTGACCCCTCTGCCATCCTGTCACATATGATTAGTGTGGCCCTGCCTTCCATGAAGTAGAGCTGGACCAGATTGCCTTATCTGCATATACATTTTTGCAGGATCCCAGGATTCATGACAAGAACACCTGGTTCTGGTCATGAGCAGGGGGCTAATTAGCACGTGGTCCTTTGTGGGGGGTACCTGGAGAATGCACCTATACTGAACAATAATGAGATATGGGATCACCATGGCTTGAAATGTTGTTGACCTGCTGGGGACCAGCCCAGTGAACTCTAGGGTAAATTAAGAGCAGGGATCCTGGGTTTCTTCAGTAAAAAAAAATAAATCCAAAATGTTATGATTTAAAAAAACCCCAAATCTACATTTTTCTGTCATTAAAACAAAATGCCACTATATATATATATATAATAATCTGGTTCATCCAATATTGATGCATTTTACATTTCTTGAAACTGCTGCAAGTTTTAGCACAGGTTGTCCATAAACACACACTTAGGCAGCACTTTTCTATCCACTTATATAGTGTAAACTATGCATGATATTAGTCCAAAGCCAAAAGGCTCATGATCAGGGATCCTGGTTGTCTCTGATAAAAATACATGCAACATTTTCTGATTTAAAAAAAACCTCTTTTCTGTGAGTAAAACAAAAATGCCACTATATATATATATATAATTTTGTGATTTAAAAAACCCCCAGAATCTACATTTTTCTGTGATTAAAACAAAATGCCACTATATATATGCGTGTGCGCGTGTATGTACACACACACACACACACACACACACACACACACACACACACACAC